CGGACGGACGGACATGCATAAATCGACTCAGAATGTGATTCTATGCAGATCATCAAAAGGAACTATGGGTCTATCTCGTTTCCTTTTGCCTATCACAAACAAATGCACAAAGACATAATACCCTGACCACCTTGTGATGTAGGGTATAAATAGAAGACACGTGTATCGCCGCTTACTTTCACGACATTGAGGGGACTTTATCAATATCACAGTTGAGACATTTCTCGGTATGCCATTGCTACTCAACGAGTTGATCGATGAATTATTATTATTCAAAATTTGACCCTTTGTGGGGGAGGTACTTGATTGAGTGGGCCGATATTGTCCATTTTCGCACCTGACCCAGCACTAGTAAAAATACTAGGATTTACAAAGTTAGAGCAAAGTCGGATTATCCTTCCATTTTCTATGCTGTAAATTCTTTTTTTTTTGGAAATTTCGACCTTTTGCGAGAGAAGTACCAGAAGGAGTGGACCGATATTGTCCATTTCCGAACTCGATCTAAGTCTGACAATAATATTGCGATGTACCAAGTGTGAATACTCCCTTCGAGAGTTGTTGTGCGCACAAGCCAGGCAGACATACGGACGGACATCACTAGATCGATTTTAAATGCCCTGAAACGGATTTGGTCCAAAGAGACCTAGGGTCTAAAACCGTTATTTCGATGATATATACTTTCTCTAGCCATATGCTGAAGGTATAGAAAGAGCAAATGGATATATGACTCAATTATCCGTCCGTTTCCCGCGCTCGTTTGGTTCCACTCGTTAGAGAGAACATAATACAAGAGAAGCATTAATAAAGTTCAAATAGCAGCCTCTCCACTGATTACAGGTGCACTTACTTTGCCACTATCCAACTCATTTTGGTGTTAGACATGGGCTTATGGCAGATGCAAGTTCTGCACGACTTGTCATTCTCCAAAACAGAACCATTAGTTATTATTTAGTTAGCCGTTAATCTACTCGTGGACCACACATCAGTTTATCTCTCCCATATCTTTCTTGTTCTCTTTTCTCTTGAAATTTTAGAGAAGCTCAATGGACAAGTAAATCTCTGAGTGGAGTGGCTGTTATAATCGACCGCGTATCCTTTAACCTAACCTAGCCTAGGACGTGCATATACCAAAATTTGGACCAAATGGATCTTTTTTTTCACCAATGAACTAAAACAAAGCTCTCTAAAATTTTTAAAAGATCTATATTCAATATTACGAAATATATCTCAAAAAATTGGGGTCCCTTGTGTATAGTCAAGGCTAAATACAGGCCTTTAAAAATTTGGCTCAAAAACGCAAAACTCTTTTTGGGACCAGCCAGACACACAAACATACAGACAGGAGAAGGACATCTAAAACTGTTATATGGATAAGTCGATATTTTGACCGTCTCAAATGATTCTTAAGCTCTGTAGCCATATGACTGAGGGTATTGAGATATTTTCTCCTATTTTGTATATAGAATAGAAGACCTTATTAAATTCTCTACAGAGAAGGCTTTTTTTTAAATCTTTATCCAAAGTGAAAGAGAGATTATTTGCATAGCACTGTTATACGGTCGTTTTCTCGTGAGTATCAGAAAACTTCTTTTTGTCAAAAAAACAACTTCGCACAAGCCATGGAGACCACACCACATTTCCGTTACCCATTCATTTGACATTTATGACTCTTTGTTAGAAGTCAGATATAGTGGGTATTGAGGAAAACAAAAATAAAACAGAATGAGTTTAAACTTAATGAATGGAGGAAAACAAGAAGGTGCCAATATGATTGGTGGTGTATCACCATCACAGTGCTCGTGTTGTAGTCGCAGTAGTTGGTAGAATGGCCCAAAAAAGAAGCAAAACTAAATGTAAGTTGTGTGTTGTTGGCATACAATTTACGCACAATCATTGTGATTTCCAACAAAAAAAAAAAAAAAAAAATAACAAAAACAACTATATCCCACATCCCATCCATCCATGCCCAACAACACAACATTTGTTGTTTTTTTTTACGGTCGAAGAAGACATGGTTGAATGCACTACTTCCGCTGGCAAAGGAAATAATTATACAAAACCAACCAACAAATAACAACAATGGGAAATGCAGAGTCGAAGACGGAGAAGAAGAAGAACTACAAGTTGTAAATAATAAGAAACAAAAAAACAAAAAAGAGAAACCTAATACCAGCAACATATCAACAAAGTAAACAAAAAAAAAACAAGGGTAAAACGGAAGAATGAAACAACAAACTTGGGGATTAAATGAAGAAGAAGGCAAAGAAGTAATCCCAAGGTAAAAAGAAGCAAATTGGTCAACCCACCTGAAAGGCGTTTGCAGATGGGTAATTTGGTAGGAAGGAAGTACGCATTTCAAAAATATTAGAAATATCGAAACCATTATTTCAAAACACCAACAACGGAAGTAGTAATTAGAAATATGGAATACACATATCATCATCTAGCCAAATTCATTCAACAAGTGATAGGAATGACTCACATAGAGGAGAGCATGTTTTTTAATTACAAAAAAAATCAACAAAAACAAAAATATCCATAAATAAAAATACAAAGAGCGCGTTCTGAGAAATTGCAATGACGTTATACGTATATAAGTGCTTAGGTCACATAATAAACATACACACATATACACCAAAAATATAGCAGCGAGTATTTAGGTCAGGGTTGCCAGCATTGAGGATTTTTCGCGCAAAAATGGGAATTTTTGAGGAATTTTGACATGCAAAATGGGGCCTTTACACAATTCTGTTTTCTACAGTACAAACGTCAGCTAACATGACAGCATCAGCACTTGTGAATAATAATAATAATAATAATAATAATAATAATAATAATAATAATAATAATAATAATAATAATAATAATAATAATAATAATAATAATAATAATAACAACAATAATAATAATAAAAATGAAAATAATAATAATAATAAAAGCAATAATAATAATAATGTATTTACAGGGTAAGATGAAAAAAACTGCAACCAATTTCAGACTGCTGTCATTTCTAAGCCACTCGTCCGACAGCTGTTAAAATTATTCCAGTGACAGCTCATTATATTGTCTACAAGCGCACAAAAACATTTTGGTGAGAATTTTCCAGAAAAAAAAGTTATTTGTTATGGAAGCCATGATTTCTTTATATTTGACTGAAAAACCACAAGTGGCTATCGTTAGAGCACTCCAGCATTTAAATATGAATAAATCTTTTATGTCTCGTAACATCGCACGTAGCGAAATCGCTCGTAGCGTAGCCCGACGTCAAGGAAGTGGACGGAAGAAAACGCAACATCAGCAGAAATGGTTCGAAAAGTAAAGAAGCGATTTGATCGAAACCCGCGTCGCAGTGGCCGAAAAATGGCTCGTGTGCTGAACATATCGCAAAATTCCATTCGGCAAATATTGAAAAATGAGCTCGGGGTAAAGCCATTGAAAATCTAAAAAAGTGCAAGAACTTACACCGCAAAGTGGTGCTTCGCTTGGCCGAAAGTGGGGATCTGCCGAATTTGGTTTTCTCGGATGAGAAAACATTCGTTGTCCAGCAGTTTGTAAACAAACATGTGCATCTTCAGTTGGCCACCAGAACTCAAGCGCCGGCCATGGTAATGGTGTGGCATTAGAATAATTGACGAATATTATCGCGAAAATATTGTGGAAGGTGTATTAAAGCCTTAGGCACGCAAACATTTTGGCGGCAGACCTTGGACATTCCAACAGAACTCAGCACCATCGCACTCAGCACGCGCCACCCAAGACTGGTTACAAAATGAGGTCACTCGCTTCATTTCCAGCGCACAATGGCGACCAAAATCTCCGGATACAAATCCGTTGGACTATTGTTTGGAAAGTAAGGTTGACACTGAAAAATAACAAAGTGTCGATCACCTCAAGCAGGCGCTTCGCCGGAAATGGGCCAAAATACCGCAGAGCAACCTTCGGGCAGCGTGTGACGGTTTCATTGGCCGTTTGAAGGCCATAATTCGTGCCAAAGGTGACCAATTCGAACAAATCTAGATTTATTCTAAAATTTGATGCAATTTCCGACATTCATTCAATAAATGTCCCAGGCTTGCAAGGATGTAAAAGTTTTTACTACGATAACCGATTTCCCCTTTATTATATCGAAAAAAATTGTAAAACTTGTACATTCTTGCAGGTTCTGGAACATCCCTATAATTTCATATAATTTTGTCTTTGACGTTTTTAATTTAATTTTCTTAAAAATGTATGTTGGCAACCCTGTTTTTTACTAGACAAAAATATTTAATTTCAAAATTAACTTGTAACCAATATATTGATTACCAACACTTAATCAATACCAACAAGTACACTTGAATCGCGTAGACTATATCATATATTTAACAACAAATATTTTTTATTAGAATTATCACAAATATTTTTTAATTTAATGACGGAGCACACTGAAAATATCGACGTTCACCTCGCAAAATAGTTTCGATCAATTGAAATCAAATAAAATAAAAAATTTTAAAAGAATTAAAAAAAAGCCATAAGTTCGGCCGAAAACATTTTATATAAAAATATCATGCAAATATTGATCTTCTTAGACTAACTTTGGCATACTCTTTTCAACATTTCGGCCGGTATCTCATGAATAAATGCTTTAATGTTGTCTTCCCATGCGTTAAATGAAATGGGGGAATTGTCGGTATGGGCATGAACTTTAATATAGCACACAAAATAGTTGTTTCAAGAAGACATTCTGAAAATTGGGCTGCCAATTTCCCGGTCCCGAGAAATTGGTCTGCCAATTTCACGGTCACGTGGCATCGTCTTCTTAAAACCACATGTTGTGCAAGTTAAGCTCTTGCATTTTGGGCAAAAAAAAAAAACTGGATATCATCTCACTGTAGCGCTCACCATTCACAGTTCGTGAGTACCGATTCGCAACACCTTTGAGGAAGTACGGTCCAATGATGCCACCAGCCCATAAACCACTCTAAACTGTGAAACTAAAAACTCAAACACAAACAGTATTGTTAAATTAAAATTATATATATTTTTTTAAATATATTATTGTTTCCTTAGTAAAGAAACGGTATAGCGACTATAGGAACATATCATGCCGAAAATAAAAATTAGTTTGTAAAAAAAATAAATTGGAGCGACTTAAAGCGTATCGGAAACAGTGAAATGTTGAAAATGAAAGCGTCGTCTAGTGCGACACTTAACCCTAAAAAAACACCTATGCTTTAGTTCTGTACTTGCGGCTATATTTGGAACGTAAAAACGTTTGTCGGCGTCTTCTGCGTCTGCGAACAACGGGTCCCTCTAACAAATCGTCGTGGTCGTAGTCGTAATAATCAGTTTCGTTTTCATCGGGTCCATCAGTGTTAACGTTATCAATTTCAAAATCATTGGGACTGGTAATGGGACAATCGCTACTGACTTCACCGTCGGGCAAGAGACATTTTCGCTTGTCTTCTTTCCAGCCGTCGGATATATCAAAGTCATCGAGGTCATCTCCGTTGGGGGGATAGTTCTCGAATGTGAAATGCACAAATGGTTGCCCATTAAGAAATGGTTGCGGATAATTGTAGGTGTTATAGCCGCCGTAATAGCTATTGAAGCACGGGCTACATTGAAATGGCATGCCATTGAGCAAGATATAGGCAAATGGTAGACGCAGGCAGTAATCGCAATTAGGTTGAGGTAGCTGTTGCAGTGTTCTGCCAGGCATAGCTGGTCGCCTTGAATGTCTTCTTGGTCGGAATGGAACATATTTCACCGTTTCGCGACAATTTCCAGCATCATCATTATCGTCAAAGTAGTCCTGGAAATCTGAATTAGAATCACAGACTGTTATCCTCTTTGCTTCCATGACACGGCTTTTACACTGTTTGCCGCAGACGCGATGCCGCTTGCGATGGCAACGTGAAGCAGTCGAAAACCGCTGCATGTCGCAATTACTCCTCGAACGCAAAACAATACAGCATGGATCCGTATTATTATAACCCAAACCGAACTTTCCCCCCACTCGAGACGCTTTAAAATCCTGATGCAAATGCACGTTATTATCGTTATTGAGTGTTATATTGCCTTCATTGCTTTCGATTAGGTTGTGTATTTGATTCGTCAAACGAATCACGTTGGTCGTATTAAAAGGTTTGGTTGACTTTGTGAATTGAGTATCGTTTACACCCTGCACTAGTAGTTCACTCATTGATAATTCCGGACAATTTGGACATTCCTTCAGGCATTTACCAACATCTTCAACGCCTTGACAGACCTGTTTGCATTTTTCCCTATTTTCGAAACACTCTTGGTATTCCTTCAAGGTAGGTTCGTCATAGTTTTGCAATTGAGTCTGGATGACAATTGGATTGACAGGGATACTATGTTGAATGGTGGTGGTATTTCCATCAACAATCAGTTCTTTGTCTTCAGCTGCAATGGCATTGGTGGGAGTGGTGGTGATGACGAGTAAAACTGCCAAAAAGAAGTTCACGAGTATCTAAAGAAAAATATGAATCAAAGTTTCGTTTAACATTGAATGTTTCTAACATACCTGGAGTTTCATTTGCTTAGTGAGTACCACACTCCTTGGCTCTTTAATTTCAACTGATTATAGATCGATTGCATTTTTATACTGAAAGCTTTTCGATATCGCCCATTATCAATGGAAGCTATATTGATAACATATCATTAGCTTAACAAAAGAATGTTTATAAATATTTCAATTTGCAGCGAAATTAGCTATTTTCTATATGAATTTTTGGGAATATTGATTAAAAAAATTTTTTGGTAAAATTTTAGCGAATGGAGAGAGAGAAAATGCTCTCAGTAAAAGTTACTAAGTTCTAATCTTTACAGGGCAAGTTATCGTACACTTTCAAGGCCAATAAAGAGGGCACACAACAAAGCAGCCCATCAAAGTATACGATTAATACCATTGTCATTCTTTCTGTCCGGGAAACCAATTGTATTTTTCCGATTAGATTTCAAAACGACACATTCTATTAGACACCAACAAATATTATTTTTTGTTTTGAACGTTTACGCATGGAAGAATTAGGAAGGTAAACTAATATGTTTACAATTTGTTTTCGTTACAACGTTACCTAAAATTCGACGTAGCGTACACAAATATTCCACTACCCTACTATAGAAAATGTTTTGTAGGTCAGAGATCGCTATGCTTATTTGAAATAACTTTGCTTTTTAATTGTACCATGCAATATATTAAAATATACCAGACTAGCAAATGCCTGCTACTTTGCCAACGAAAAGTCCCCCTTGAAATTTGAGATTTGTTCCGATTTCGTTCCTTCTTAGTACTCAAAATGCACAATCTGTTTAGTTTGACAAAATGTACTAAATTTTCAGAAATTCAAGGTTCGAAAAGTATAGAAGCGACTTGATCGAAACCCGCGTCGCAGTGGCCGAAAAATGACTCGTGAGCTGAACATATCGCAATATTCCATTCGGCATACTGAAAAATGAGCTCTTACCCTGAGCCATTGAAATTCCAAAAAATTCAAGAACTTACACCGCAACAGAAAGAAAATAGACTCAAAAGAGCTAAAGAGTTGCTTCGCTTGGCCGAAAGTGGTAAACTGCCGAATTCGGTTTTCTACGAAGAGAAAACAAGTGCCGGAAAATGGGATGGTGTGGGCTTTCATAACAGCCGATGGTCACTCTCCGCTCTATTAATCGACCGTGGCATCAGAATAAATGCCGCGAAAATATACTGGAGGGTGTATTAAAGCCTTGGGCACGCAAACATTTTGGCCGCAGACCTTGGACATTCCAACAGGACTCAGCACTATCGCACTCAGGACGCGCAACCCAAGAATGGTTACAAAATCTTCAAAATCTTCGGTTACCAATCCGTTGGACTATTGTGTCTGGAGTATTTTGGAAAGCAAGGTTGGCACTAAAAATACCAATGGGTGGATCACCTCAAGCAAGCGCTTCGCCAAAAAATCGCAGAGCAACATTCGGGCAGGGTGTGAGGGTTTCATTGGCCATAATTCGTGCCAAAAGTGACCAATTCGAACAAATCTAAACCTATTCTATAATTTGATGCTATTTCTGACATTTTAAGTTTTCATTCAATAAAATTAAAAAAAAAAATGTAAAAATTATGGCGTTTGACTTTGTTGCAGTTTTTTTTTACCTCACCCTGTATATCTAAACTGATCTTCACCAAATTTGACATTGGGCTAATATTACACGTTTGGTGCACAATAAAAGGCAAATCTGATGAAGTTATATATGGTAGCTACATCCTAATCTGACCCGATCTCGATAAAATTTAGCAAAGGTATTTCTGAGCTGTATTTGATATATTTCCCCAAATATTGTTGTTACAGAGTGCATATTATGGCTGCGGAGGACAAAAATAACAAGTCGGATATCTGAACCGATTTCGATTAAATTTGGAATACTTATTTTAAGACCTAATTTGGTGCACGAAAAAGGCAAATCGGACAAATCTACATTTTGACAGATTATATTTAATTCCAATAGGGTTCGTCCTTGGGCCAAACAAATGATTTTGTGCAAAATTTCTTCTGGATCGGACAATAAATGCGACCTGTATATACGTGGACGGACGGACATGCATAAATCGACACAGAATGTGATTCTATGCAGATCATCAAAAGGAACTATGGGTCTATATATCGTTTCCTTTTGCCTGTTACAAATAAATTCTCAAATACCTAATACCCCGACCACCTTGTGGTGTAGGGTATAAAAACCATCACCCACTTTATACCATACAAGGGCATTATCACCAGAATGCAGTACATGACGAAGGACGCTCATGTTGGAATTGGGCCTGAAACATTTTCTATAACTGTTTTAAAGTAAAATCTGCAGCAAATCGAACATCAATCGACAATTTAAGTAAAAATATATACACGTCCAGTAAAATCATTATGGTAACACAAAGAACACAACGATTTCATTCAAAATAAAATGATATCATACAATATGGAAGTTTGGAATGACGAGAGCAAGTTGTTATTGTCATTATTTTAATTTTTTTTTTGAGTATTTCGTTGCATTCGATGATTAAATGTTTGTGCGGTGTGGAGGGGAGAGGGGATGGTATGAGTAATACCAATTCATTCATTTGATTAAATTCCCGAAAATATCTTTGTGAACGCATATGCTAAATCAACTATGTGTGATTGCTTACCCCAAACAGAATGAATTTCAATACACATTGATAATAGTCAATTTATATATGATAAATTACTACGTATCTACAAAATCCTTCTTCTCCCTCTAATAAATTCTTGAAAATGGGTACGTAACTGAAAGTAGCTTTGCATTTTCCCAATTTTCAGGGCTCTGACCATTAACGATTTCCTGTACAGGGTGAGATGACAAAACTGCTGTTATTCTAGACTGCTGTTATTTCTAAGCCACTCGTCCGACAGCTGTTAAAATTATTCCAGTGACAGCTCATTATATTGTTTACAAGCGTACAAAAGCATTTTGGTGAGATTTTTTCAGAAAAAAAGTTGTCGTCTCGTGATGGAATTCAAGCGTGATAGTGTTATTTCTTTATATTTGCCTGGAAAAACACATGTGGCTATCGTTAAAGCACTCCAGAAATTAAATGTGAATAAATCTTTTGTGTCTCGTAACATCGCTCGTTGCCGTGGCGTAATCGCTCGTAGCGTAGCCCAGCATCAAGGAAGCGGACGGAAGAAATCAGCAACTTCAGCAGAAATGGTTCGAAAAGTAAAAAAGCGACTTGAAACCCGCGCATATCGCAATATTCCAATACCAATCCGTTGAACTATTGTGTCTGAAGTATTTTGGAAAGCTAAAAAATACCATAGTGTCGATCACCTCAAGCAAGCGTTCGCCGGGAATGGGCCAAAATACCGCAGAGCAACATTCAGGCAGCGTGTGGCTTTATTGGCCATTTGAAGGCCATAATTCGACCAATTCGAACAAATCTAAACTCATTATAAAATTTGATGCTATTTCCGACATTTTTTGTTTGTTTAAAAAAATTTCAAAATTATGGCGTTTGACTTTGTTGCAGTTTTTTTTATCTCACCCTATACTCATAGTGATCCTAATGTCAAAATTTATCTTTTTAGTTCTATTCCTATACTCCCTTTACCGATTTTAGTAGTTTTCCTACAATATGGCCGTTATATACGAAGACGTGCACATGCAAAGGGCATTTCGTCATAGGCCATTAATTACAATATTCAAATACGAAACTTGAAAAAATCCAATGAATAATGTAGCTAAAATCATCAAAATACCGAATATAAGAAGGTACCGTTATATCGGGGCTATACGAAGACTTGAACCTGCATAGACAATGTCTGTCAAAGACTGTAGTTTTCATTACGAGCTCTAAATATGAAATTTGAAACTACTCCGGTGAATAAGGTGCCTAAAACGTCAAAATATCGAATATCTTGGTGTACCGTTGTATCTGGGACCGTACAGCCTACATCGTGAACCTATATAGACATTTCTCTTCCTAAAATTCCATTAAAAAAATGTAGCTAACCGTTATATGGGGGATATACGATATGGTGGACCTATATGGACAATAATCTTCCAGGGGGTAAAGTACTTAGAAGGAACTCCTTTTGTGGATTTTCAGACAATTTCATTGAAAAAATTGGCAACAATCATTGAAATACCGAATGTCGGGGGTACCGTTATATGGGGGCTATACGTTATCGTGGACCGATATCGTCCACCTTCGATCTTGACCTGCCCGCAGACAAAAGACTGACATGTACAAAATTTTACCTTCATATCTTTATTCGTTTGACTCTAGCGTGATTTGCGAACGGAGGATCAGAGCTAAATAGTTTTAGAATTTTACGGTGATCTAGACTATGTATATTTTGTTAGGTCTAAAATTATTATTTCGATGAGTTGCAAACGGAATGACGAACTTAATATACCCTCATGCTATGTATGGTGGAATGTATAAAAAACCACAGCCAGTGTATGGGCGAGACACACTAACATTGACATGCAAAATTTTACCCATTGTTTGCGTGTGTATTATTTTCAATTATAGGATCATTTTGATATAACTCCCGAACCGTTTCAAATTACCCCATCATGTAACCAACCTCCAATGATACCTAAAGGGTAATTATATTTTTGGCAAAATTGGTTAAAGCAGCAAACGTACACATCGTGTTTTGTTTCACTGTCAAACATCTTCAGTTTGATTTATAATTAAACCATGAATCGTCTTACGTTACAAAATGTGTGTTCTATTAATAAAGTTCATTATCAATAAATTGTGTATTTTTGGGGTATTTTCGCAACTTTGGAACCCTATATCTCGGTAAGTATTGATTTCCCATCGAAAACAATTATGTCGCTTTAATTAGGATAACAAAACCTACCCTCGCTAAAAATTTCAGCATTTTCTGCCAGCTGGAGGTAAACTTAATTTGTTACCCGATTTGCACAGGAAAGCTAACTTAAGGCAAGTCCTTGTTGTCCTTGTAAATTACTGTCAGCTTGTTTTTGCGTGTCGAAAGAAAACAAATAAAAACACCAATTTTGTATAAGTTTTTTACTTTTTTTATTTTAGCAAACTGTTGAAAAAATACTCCTAAAATTAGTTTTTTAGCTTTCGCATTCATTTTCTTTCGTCATACATAAACAGATAATGAGTGTCTTTTAGTGTCCAAATTAT